ACTAGATCGAAATGAATGATATCAATATCGGTTACCCTGACCTAAGACTTAAAGCAGTTACTTTATTTTTGCACATATAAAGTGCAATTCAAATTCACCAATGCTATTATCATCAGAAGGACAGCGTTACAATGGGCTCCCCACTAGGCCCGTTGTTTGCGAACGTCTTCATGGCAATGCTACAGAACAACGCCCTCATAGCTTTCATCAAAAAATGCAAGCTATACAGAAGATGCGTCGACGACGTATTGTGTATCATAGACGAGGATAGTAATCCCAACGAGCCACTAGCAACATTCAGCTGCGCGCATCCAAACATTAAATTTACTCTAGAGGAGGAAACAGACAACCAGATCGTATTTCTTGATGTTTGCCTCAAAGGCCGGGTCAGTACACTCATTTTCAAAGTTTCGTACCTCTCATAAGAAAGCGAAACTTGATTCAATGTCTCACTAACCGAGCGCAAAAAATCTGCTCGGCTGATACAGTTCAGAAAGAATTAGAATTCCTGCTTCAGGCCTTCCAACAAAGTGGATACCCGGATCAACTTGTGGGAAGCATATTCAAACGCCAGACAAACGAGGGGAAAATTGTTGAAAAGAAATCAGTTTACATAAAAATGCCATTTACAGATTAGACTATGACGGCAATAGTTATTCGAACGTTGACAACAGCGATCAGTCAAACTTACCATGCAGTGAACTTGCGTGTCACATTTGCATCCGAAGTAAGTGCGAGCTACTACTGCTATTCACAACTGGCAGGCACTTGAGTCAACTAAGTCGAATACTGCCTTTCAGCCAAGCAGAACTAGGGATTCGATCTTTACCGGCGCAGCTAATACTACAGCCAACCCGAGTTTCAAGCGTGTAATACGGCTAAGTGTAAACTATTAGTAGGGGCGATCAGGAAATGGTGAGCGGACTGACTGATAGTGATTCACAATGGTCCGTCTGGTGCCCAACAATATGCTGCATTTCGAATTCAGACCATTCACTGAAACTTTCGCCCTCCCAGGCACTTCGTGATCCTCTGCGATCAGTTATCAAGCTCTTGGCGGTTTTCAACTCAAGGTGCTCCCGCGTAGCGCACAGAGCTCATCCACGGAGATTCGACTTGTTTCTGTTAATTTCCGAGCAACGATGAAACACCTAAGCAAATCTTATCATGAACACTAACGTGCTCAGTTGACTGAGTTAAAGATTTCAATGCAAGATCGCACTGACGGTTCTTCCCACTACATGTAGAAAACCGTTGAGGAGACTTAATGACAATCGATTAGGCGCAAATATGAAATCCAGATGTGTATTAAATATCCGTTTAGACTGTTCTTTGAGTTAGTCGGGAGAGCAAAGCTGGGTGCCACCGAGCACGTTTCCAAGTGGCAATAGGGGACGACCGACATTTCTCGGCTAACTATGAAGGTGGCCGTTCAACTACCGGCACGCCACTTAACATGGACCCTCCTCGAGTCAGCGTCGAATGCAAACCGACCATATTGCTGTAAGCCACAAACGGCGGAGTTGCATACAAGACTGCCGATCGTGTTGGAGCACCACCCTCGAATCCGACGACAGATTGGTTCATGCGTTCGAAACACACGACGGTTAGA